TTCGTTAGATGCGATTAAGTCACAAAACCACTGTCTCCACCATACTCCGGTCCATACAAAGTTATCGAACGTACAGACAAATATTTTAAAATAATGAAAGCAAATTCGCAGCAATGCGTTAGTATCGACAGATTAAAGCCAGCATTTACAATTGACACCAAAGGTGTATTTAGTTTTCATAACTTTATATATCCTGGGAATTATAGGATATTTTATTTGGAAAAATTGCAAAACTAACTATGGGAGATACATGCGCAGAGAGTTGCAAGATTAAGCAATTACACCGTACCGCATTAGCGACCAGGGCCCAAACAGACCGGTTACTCAGCAAGTGATTGTGTGATGTGAAGTGAATAATTTGGTGCCTAGTTAAAAGGCATGTATGTATATGCAATGGCCGATAAGGTCATGGAAACCTCAAGACCTGTGAATATTTCTGAAATTCATACAGCTGGTTTGAGCTCAAGTGACAACTCTTTTATTTTGGCTTAACTTGCAAAATTAAGTTTGCGTATTCGTGATATGGAGAGGAGTACAGGATGGCGTTCATCATAGTGTCAAAGAGGATCAACACCCGCGTGTTTATCGACACCAGCCGCTTCGGCGAGAACCCGCGCTCCGGCACTGTCATCGATGATGTTATCACGCTGCCAGAACGATCAACTACAGGCAGGAGGCGCAAAGCCTGGAGCAACAGTTGTAGGCCGTGGTTCGCGTAGAGGAGGTGGCAGAGTCTTGCCAGAACAGATAACAGTTTTGCGCACCCGTCCTGAATCCATTACTTCCAAAAAAGGTAAAACTGGCACTCCATTGGATTTGTGTGCCAATTACTTCAATGTGGAGACAACTCCCAACTGGTCTCTATATCAGTATCACGTCGATATTCAACCTGAAGAGGATAGTACTGGTGTCCGTAAAGCTTTGCTGCGTGTTCACCAGAAAACACTAGGAGGGTACTTATTTGATGGTACTGTGCTATACACTGTAAATAGATTACACCCAAATCCCTTGGAACTCTACTCAGATCGCCACACTGATAATGAACGCATGCGTTTGCTTATCAAGCTCACCTGCCAAGTTAGTCCAGGAGACTATCATTATATTCAAATATTCAATATCATTATAAGAAAGTGTTTAATTGTTATGAAGCTTCAATTACTTAACAGAGATTTTTTGATCCAGATGCAAAAATTGACATTCCGGAGTTCAAATTACAAATCTGGCCAGGTTATAAAATCTCTATCAATCAATATGAGGATAAACTTCTTTTAGGAACTGAAATTACGCACAAGATTCTGCGAATGGATACAGTCTGGCAATTATTGAGGGGCTTCATAAATACTAATGAGAACCAATTTAAAAAAGACTTTTTGGAAGAAATAGTTGGAAAGATTGTTATGACGGATTACAATAAGAAGATATTCAGAGTTGATGATGTTACATTTAACGAGTCACCTAAATCCACTTTCCGTATGAAAGATCAAAATATTTCATACATTGACTACTATTATAAGAAATACAATACGCAAATACCGCGAGAAGAATGGAGTGCTAACAACACGAATTTTCATCTATCGCGATGGTGTTGGTGATGGGCAAATCCCATATGTAAAGAGTCATGAGGTGGCAGAGATTAAAAAGAATCTCGACGAGGTATATGTGCAGAGGCAATACGGAAGATTGGGTGAACGAATTACCGTCAGTACTACTGGGCTTAAGGGCAAGTGTACGCGATGACACAAGTGTGAGCGCTGCTGAAATGGTTTATGGACAAGTGATACGCCTACCAGGAGATTTCTTTTCGCCCATAAATCTAGAAATCACTGATAATGAAACTTTTTTGCAAAATTTGCGAAATAGAATAAAGCAAATTTCATCGATTCCGAAACGAGAAAATAGGCAAGGTCGTATATTCGTACATCCTGAATTAAGCGCGTGTACACACGTTTTCGTTAGATGCGATCAAGTCACGAAACCACTGTCTCCACCATACTCCGTCCCATACAAAGTTATCGAACGTACAGACAAATATTTTAAAATAATGAAAGCAAATTCGCAGCAATGCGTTAGTATCGACAGATTAAAGCCAGCATTTACAATTGACATTGATATTTTATTTGGAAAAATTGCAAAACTAACTATGGGAGATACATGCGCAGAGAGTTGCAAGATTTAGCAATTACACCGTATCGCATTAGCGACCAGGGCCCAAACAGCCCGGTTACTCAGCAAGTGATTGTGTGATGTGAAGTGAATAATTTGGTGCCTAGTTAAAAGGCATGTATGTATATACAATGGCCGATAAGGTCATGGAAACCTCAAGACCTGTAAATATTTCTGAAATTCATACAGCTGGTTTCAGCTCAAGTGACAACTCTTTTATTTTGGCTGAACTTGCAAAATTAAGTTTGCGTATTCTTGATATGGAGAGGAGTACAGGATGGCGTTCATCATAGTATCAAAGAGGATCAACACCCGCGTGTTTATCGACACCAGCCGCTTCGGCGAGAACCCGCGCTCCAGCACTGTCATCGATGATGTTATCACGCTGCCAGAACGATCAACTACAGGCAGGAGGCGCAAAGCCTGGAGCAACAGTTGTAGGCCGTGGTTCGCGTAGAGGAGGTGGCAGAGTCTTGCCAGAACAGATAACAGTTTTGCGCACCCGTCCTGAATCCATTACTTCCAAAAAAGGTAAAACTGGCACTCCATTGGATTTGTGTGCCAATTACTTCAATGTGGAGACAACTCCCAACTGGTCTCTATATCAGTATCACGTCGATATTCAACCTGAAGAGGATAGTACTGGTGTCCGTAAAGCTTTGCTGCGTGTTCACCAGAAAACACTAGGAGGGTACTTATTTGATGGTACTGTGCTATACACTGTAAATAGATTACACCCAAATCCCTTGGAACTCTACTCAGATCGCCACACTGATAATGAACGCATGCGTTTGCTTATCAAGCTCACCTGCCAAGTTAGTCCAGGAGACTATCATTATATTCAAATATTCAATATCATTATAAGAAAGTGTTTAATTGTTATGAAGCTTCAATTACTTAACAGAGATTTTTTGATCCAGATGCAAAAATTGACATTCCGGAGTTCAAATTACAAATCTGGCCAGGTTATAAAATCTCTATCAATCAATATGAGGATAAACTTCTTTTAGGAACTGAAATTACGCACAAGATTCTGCGAATGGATACAGTCTGGCAATTATTAAGGGGCTTCATAAATACTAATGAGAACCAATTTAAAAAAGACTTTTTGGAAGAAATAGTTGGAAAGATTGTTATGACGGATTACAATAAGAAGATATTCAGAGTTGATGATGTTACATTTAACGAGTCACCTAAATCCACTTTCCGTATGAAAGATCAAAATATTTCATACATTGACTACTATTATAAGAAATACAATACGCAAATACCGCGAGAAGAATGGAGTGCTAACAACACGAATTTTCATCTATCGCGATGGTGTTGGTGATGGGCAAATCCCATATGTAAAGAGTCATGAGGTGGCAGAGATTAAAAAGAATCTCGACGAGGTATATGTGCAGAGGCAATACGGAAGATTGGGTGAACGAATTACCGTCAGTACTACTGGGCTTAAGGGCAAGTGTACGCGATGACACAAGTGTGAGCGCTGCCGAAATGGTTTAAAATAAAAAATCAAATCAAATAAAGGTTATAAAATCTCTATCAATCAATATGAGGATAAACTTCTTTTAGGAACTGAAATTACGCACAAGATTCTGCGAATGGATACAGTCTGGCAATTATTGAGGGGCTTCATAAATACTAATGAGAACCAATTTAAAAAAGACTTTTTGGAAGAAATAGTTGGAAAGATTGTTATGACGGATTACAATAAGAAGATATTCAGAGTTGATGATGTTACATTTAACGAGTCACCTAAATCCACTTTCCGTATGAAAGATCAAAATATTTCATACATTGACTACTATTATAAGAAATACAATACGCAAATACCGCGAGAAGAATGGAGTGCTAACAACACGAATTTTCATCTATCGCGATGGTGTTGGTGATGGGCAAATCCCATATGTAAAGAGTCATGAGGTGGCAGAGATTAAAAAGAATCTCGACGAGGTATATGTGCAGAGGCAATACGGAAGATTGGGTGAACGAATTACCGTCAGTACTACTGGGCTTAATGGCAAATGTACGCGATGACACAAGTGTGAGCGCTGCCGAAATGGTTTATGGACAAGTGATACGCCTACCAGGAGATTTCTTTTCGCCCACAAAGCTAGAAATCACTGAAAATGAAACTTTTTTGCAAAATTTGCGACATAAAATAAAGCAAATTTTATCGATTCCGAAACGAGAAAGTAGGCAAGGTCGTATATTCGTACATCCTGAATTAAGTGCGTGTACACACGTTTTCGTTGGCTGCGATCAAGTCACGAAACCACTGTCTCCACCATACTCCGTCCCATACAAAGTTATCGAACGTACAGACAAATATTTTAAAATAATGAAAGCAAATTCGCAGCAATGGGTTAGTATCGACAGATTAAAGCCAGCATTTACAATTGACATTGATATTTTATTTGGAAAAATTGCAAAACTAACTATGGGAGATACATGCGCAGAGAGTTGCAAGATTTAGCAATTACACCGTATCGCATTAGCGACCAGGGCCCAAACAGCCCGGTTACTCAGCAAGTGATTGTGTGATGTGAAGTGAATAATTTGGTGCCTAGTTAAAAGGCATGTATGTTTATGCAATGGCCGATAAGGTCATGGAAACCTCAAGACCTGTGAATATTTATGAAATTCATACAGCTGGTTTCAGCTCAAGGGACAACTCTTTTATTTTGGCTGAACTTGCAAAATTAAGTTTGCGTATTCGTGATATGGAAAGGAGTACAGGATGGCGTTCATCATAGTGTCAAAGAGGATCAACACCCGCGTGTTTATCGATACCAGCCGCTTCGGCGAGAACCCGCGCTCCGGCACTGTCATCGATGATGTTATCACGCTGCCAGAACGATCAACTACAGGCAGGAGGCGCAAAGCCTGGAGCAACAGTTGTAGGCCGTGGTTCGCGTAGAGGAGGTGGCAGATTCTTGCCAGAACAGATAACAGTTTTGCGCACCCGTCCTGAATCCATTACTTCCAAAAAAGGTAAAACTGGCACTCCATTGGATTTGTGTGCCAATTACTTCAATGTGGAGACAACTCCCAACTGGTCTCTATATCAGTATCACGTCGATATTCAACCTGAAGAGGATAGTACTGGTGTCCGTAAAGCTTTGCTGCGTGTTCACCAGAAAACACTAGGAGGGTACTTATTTGATGGTACTGTGCTATACACTGTAAATAGATTACACCCAAATCCCTTGGAACTCTACTCAGATCGCCACACTGATAATGAACGCATGCGTTTGCTTATCAAGCTCACCTGCCAAGTTAGTCCAGGAGACTATCATTATATTCAAATATTCAATATCATTATAAGAAAGTGTTTAATTGTTATGAAGCTTCAATTACTTAACAGAGATTTTTTGATCCAGATGCAAAAATTGACATTCCGGAGTTCAAATTACAAATCTGGCCAGGTTATAAAATCTCTATCAATCAATAAACAATCTTGTTATGACGGATTACAATAAGAAGATATTCAGAGTTGATGATGTTACATTTAACGAGTCACCTAAATCCACTTTCCGTATGAAAGATCAAAATATTTCATACATTGACTACTATTATAAGAAATACAATACGCAAATACCGCGAGAAGAACGGAGTGCTAACAACACGAATTTTCATCTATCGCGATGGTGTTGGTGATGGGCAAATCCCATATGTAAAGAGTCATGAGGTGGCAGAGATTAAAAAGAATCTCGACGAGGTATATGTGCAGAGGCAATACGGAAGATTGGGTGAACGAATTACCGTCAGTACTACTGGGCTTAAGGGCAAGTGTACGCGATGACACAAGTGTGAGCGCTGCCGAAATGGTTTAAAATAAAAAATCAAATCAAATAAAGGTTATAAAATCTCTATCAATCAATATGAGGATAAACTTCTTTTAGGAACTGAAATTACGCACAAGATTCTGCGAATGGATACAGTCTGGCAATTATTGAGGGGCTTCATAAATACTAATGAGAACCAATTTAAAAAAGACTTTTTGGAAGAAATAGTTGGAAAGATTGTTATGACGGATTACAATAAGAAGATATTCAGAGTTGATGATGTTACATTTAACGAGTCACCTAAATCCACTTTCCGTATGAAAGATCAAAATATTTCATACATTGACTACTATTATAAGAAATACAATACGCAAATACCGCGAGAAGAATGGAGTGCTAACAACACGAATTTTCATCTATCGCGATGGTGTTGGTGATGGGCAAATCCCATATGTAAAGAGTCATGAGGTGGCAGAGATTAAAAAGAATCTCGACGAGGTATATGTGCAGAGGCAATACGGAAGATTGGGTGAACGAATTACCGTCAGTACTACTGGGCTTAATGGCAAATGTACGCGATGACACAAGTGTGAGCGCTGCCGAAATGGTTTATGGACAAGTGATACGCCTACCAGGAGATTTCTTTTCGCCCACAAAGCTAGAAATCACTGAAAATGAAACTTTTTTGCAAAATTTGCGACATAAAATAAAGCAAATTTTATCGATTCCGAAACGAGAAAGTAGGCAAGGTCGTATATTCGTACATCCTGAATTAAGTGCGTGTACACACGTTTTCGTTGGCTGCGATCAAGTCACGAAACCACTGTCTCCACCATACTCCGTCCCATACAAAGTTATCGAACGTACAGACAAATATTTTAAAATAATGAAAGCAAATTCGCAGCAATGGGTTAGTATCGACAGATTAAAGCCAGCATTTACAATTGACATTGATATTTTATTTGGAAAAATTGCAAAACTAACTATGGGAGATACATGCGCAGAGAGTTGCAAGATTTAGCAATTACACCGTATCGCATTAGCGACCAGGGCCCAAACAGCCCGGTTACTCAGCAAGTGATTGTGTGATGTGAAGTGAATAATTTGGTGCCTAGTTAAAAGGCATGTATGTTTATGCAATGGCCGATAAGGTCATGGAAACCTCAAGACCTGTGAATATTTATGAAATTCATACAGCTGGTTTCAGCTCAAGGGACAACTCTTTTATTTTGGCTGAACTTGCAAAATTAAGTTTGCGTATTCGTGATATGGAAAGGAGTACAGGATGGCGTTCATCATAGTGTCAAAGAGGATCAACACCCGCGTGTTTATCGATACCAGCCGCTTCGGCGAGAACCCGCGCTCCGGCACTGTCATCGATGATGTTATCACGCTGCCAGAACGATCAACTACAGGCAGGAGGCGCAAAGCCTGGAGCAACAGTTGTAGGCCGTGGTTCGCGTAGAGGAGGTGGCAGATTCTTGCCAGAACAGATAACAGTTTTGCGCACCCGTCCTGAATCCATTACTTCCAAAAAAGGTAAAACTGGCACTCCATTGGATTTGTGTGCCAATTACTTCAATGTGGAGACAACTCCCAACTGGTCTCTATATCAGTATCACGTCGATATTCAACCTGAAGAGGATAGTACTGGTGTCCGTAAAGCTTTGCTGCGTGTTCACCAGAAAACACTAGGAGGGTACTTATTTGATGGTACTGTGCTATACACTGTAAATAGATTACACCCAAATCCCTTGGAACTCTACTCAGATCGCCACACTGATAATGAACGCATGCGTTTGCTTATCAAGCTCACCTGCCAAGTTAGTCCAGGAGACTATCATTATATTCAAATATTCAATATCATTATAAGAAAGTGTTTAATTGTTATGAAGCTTCAATTACTTAACAGAGATTTTTTGATCCAGATGCAAAAATTGACATTCCGGAGTTCAAATTACAAATCTGGCCAGGTTATAAAATCTCTATCAATCAATATGAGGATAAACTTCTTTTAGGAACTAAAATTACGCACAAGATTCTGCGAATGGATACAGTCTGGCAAATATTAAGGGGCTTCATAAATACTAATGAGAACCAATTTAAAAAAGACTTTTTGGAAGAAATAGTTGGAAAGATTGTTATGACGGATTACAATAAGAAGATATTCAGAGTTGATGATGTTACATTTAACGAGTCACCTAAATCCACTTTCCGTATGAAAGATCAAAATATTTCATACATTGACTACTATTATAAGAAATACAATACGCAAATACCGCGAGAAGAATGGAGTGCTAACAACACAAATTTTCATCTATCGCGATGGTGTTGGTGATGGGCAAATCCCATATGTAAAGAGTCATGAGGTGGCAGAGATTAAAAAGAATCTCGACGAGGTATATGTGCAGAGGCAATACGGAAGATTGGGTGAACGAATTACCGTCAGTACTACTGGGCTTAAGGGCAAGTGTACGCGATGACACAAGTGTGAGCGCTGCCGAAATGGTTTATGGACAAGTGATACGCCTACCAGGAGATTTCTTTTCGCCCACAAAGCTAGAAATCACTGAAAATGAAACTTTTTTGCAAAATTTGCGACATAGAATAAAGCAAATTTCATCGATTCCGAAACGAGAAAATAGGCAAGGTCGTATATTTGTACATCCTGAATTAAGCGCGTGTACACACGTTTTCGTTAGATGCGATCAAGTCACGAAACCACTGTCTCCACCATACTCCGTCCCATACAAAGTTATCGAACGTACAGACAAATATTTTAAAATAATGAAAGCAAATTCGCAGCAATGCGTTAGTATCGACAGATTAAAGCCAGCATTTACAATTGACACCAAAGAATGCACAAGCGCACTATATGAGGATATGACTTATGTAAACAAAAATCGAAATGAACCGAGGATTACAATATCTGGTCGTATTAGCAAGCCAGTCGTTCGCTTTGCTCCGTAATAACATTATCTGTAATTATAATAACGATGGGAAAACAACAGAGCAAAGAAGTCAAAGAGGAAATAATAATAGCGCAAAATGGTGCCGGCAATGAAGCATCTGCAACTACAAAACACTCAGAAAGGATATTTAGAATTGAGCTGTATTTAGTTTTCATAACTTTATGTATCCTGGGAATTATAGTATATTTTATTTGGTAAAATTGCAAAACTAACTATGGGAGATACATGCGCAGAGAGTTGCAAGATTTAGCAATTACACCTTATCGCATTAGCGACCAGGGCCCAAACAGCCCGGTTACTCAGCAAGTGATTGTGTGATGTGAAGTGAATATTTTGGTGCCTAGTTAAAAGGCAAGTTATGTGTGGTAAATAAGTGCAAGTTATGTGTTACATTAGTTTAATGATACTATATTCGAATTATGAACTCTATACTCACGTAATATACCACATAATGTTAGTTAATAAAACAATATATTTAAGCATGTATTTCTATTCCAATTTCATGATGTAACATGGAATATTATTATTTTATATTGTTCGAATTATGATATACTTATATTAAAACAACCTTATTTTGTACCATTTTTATTACAGTTAATCGAATTTCAAGATGTGAGTAATCAATACTTTATTTTATTTTTTTTGCGTGGTTTCAAATGATCATTAAAGAAAACAATGTTTACTTTTTTTATTTTTTGTGTTTTGTTTTTTACTCAGAGATTATATTGCAAAAACATTATGTTATCATTTTTAGTATGTACAAAGATTTTATATTCTATGTTTATATCTATATAATATATCTATATTATAATTTTACCTATTTTTGTCATTAAGAAAGTGTAATCCATATTTTTTTTAAAGGGGAATGTTATGTGCCGTCTGCACATTACATTATATGTATTTGCGCCCTCAGTTGGAATGAGACACTCGGATGAGATACTCGTACTCATAATAAATATATCGTTCAGTTTTACGTGTTAATTTATTACACCATATAGCACCCAACCGCTAAGAATTTTTCCTGAGATATCGACTTTCATTGAAAAAGGATCCTTTTCTTGTTTATCATCAATATCTTAGCATTTAATGGATGCACAGTAGATTAGTACATATACATATATATAGTACGGTAATTTTATAAATTTAAGTCATATTTCTTCAATGATCTATCATAGATTTAAAAACAATTTTTTTTTAATTTTTTACATTTTTTTTATAAAACAGTGACTAAATTTGTAAATATCGACATAATTTTTTTAATTATATTTTTAACTTATGAATAAACAAGATTAGACTACGAATGAATGAATTTCTTTCTGTAATTACCGTAAAATAAAAAAAAACCGAAAAATACAATATATTTATCTCTAAAATCGATCAAAAACTAATAAAATATCTATAAATTCGAAAAAATTAGATTCTATGGCAAAAAAATACAAAAGCAATGGGATATTTGAAAATTGAACGATTTTTTTTAAATGTAAACGTCCACTTGAAGTTGAAGGTGATGTTCAGCCTCTCAAGACTGTAAAACATACGTTTCTTGGAAATAGCTGAACATTTCAATTTCAATTGTTTTTCCATTTATTGTTTGTATTTCGAAGATTACATTTACCTTGTTTCATGAAAATCAAAAGATTATTCTGGAAATTCAAAATAAAAAACAAAGAAACAGTTTGAAACCGAGTTCTTTGCAAATACCTCGAAAACTTTAAGGTTGTTGTAAAAAATGATTTTTATAAAAGTTGTGGTTTTTACTAAACCTACAACTTTTATAGAAAACATTTTTCGATAAAACGTCACAGTAAGCCGAAAATTAAACTATGAAAATAAACTATTTTTCAACGCTTTGCAGCTTTCGGTAGTGGGTATCAGGGGCATTTCACGAATTTTTATTCCATATATATCTGCTAACATTTTAAAATCATAAAGCTTCAGGTTTTCAATATTTTGTTTCCAAAACGGATTCCGATTGGACTAAAATAGTAAGTTTATTTGTTTTTGAGGTAATATTTGTACTAATATTATTTATTTCTTTTGATTTTATCTAAGCAAAATCTACTGCGTGATTGTTATGCGCTTACCTTAATCCATTAAAATGTTGTTTCGATTTTTCTAGTAAGTGACAGAACTCGATGATTATTTTACGTTCACTTTCAGTAACAGATGTCATAATTGAAATCAAACTAAATAAATTGTTACTTGCCTTGAAATATATAGCTTATTATTTATTTACTACAGATATATACATACTTTACATTTTTGGTGTGCATTCTTCTTTATTTAATAGTTTAAATTTATATTTTTTATAATGCTGTTCATCTCTAAAATGTCGAAAATCTTTAAAAAGTTATAATTTTTTACGTCACCATTCGATTCTAAATATTGGCGTGTGGTAATTGAAACATGATGTTCAGACTTTCTTGTTTCCAGTTTTGGATTTATTAATTCTAGGATTAGAGTTAGTTATTAATCACTCTCCATTTTCTCTGTGTTTGCCTAGCACCAGTGGGATAGAACGAGCATCCGGGAACAGGTGGTTTTTTATTGAATAAAAATATTGAATCTGATGATGATGTCATGCTGTCTTGTGGTGTATTATGCAATTGTTTTTGTTTGTCATTTTTATTTTCAAATTTTTCTCCGTTAGAAAGCTGCTCATTTTTCTGTCCTTTAATTGGGATACCATTAGATTTTTTCCCTTTACTTTGTGTATTGCTATTTTTATTATTTTCATTTATACTTTTAGTGACAAGTTCCAACAACAATTGTGTTGGATCACTAGTCTTACAACTTTTCTTTCCATTAAGTTTGTTAGTGATAGTGTCAAAACTAGCCAATTTAGGCAGCCAACAGTTAGATTTATTTTCTTTAAATGCAGCGTTTTTTTTGGATTTTTTGGAGAATAGACCATTTATGAAACGTTTGAATTTTGAGGTTTTCACAGGAGATACTGGAACATCTGAGTCAGACGATTCCTCTGTAGTAGTTAGGCTTGTATAGGCTTCGCTGCTACTTAAACGGCTATTGAGGCTGCGACGTGTTCTAGAAGGTACTGTAAAAAATAAGTATATAAAAATAATTAATAACACTATGTAATTGTAAGCTGTTAGTTAATAAATTAGTTGAATCCTATACATATAATAAAACAGTAACTTAGCGAAATCTATACATGATATATATTTTAAAATAATGACTCTATCGTATTGTGTATAGAATATAAACCCCAGAACAATAGTTATTAAAAAATTATCTTTTTCTCTGCATGTCTGTTTGTCCTGCTTTATGAGTGTTCACGTTTCATGCAAAAAGCACTAAACAGATTTTAACTAAATTACTGTAGTGATAACTTATTACTAGAGTCAACATTTAGAATACCTTGTACTACAGGATTATTTTTTAATCCCACGGAGTAACATAATAACTGATTATATTGAGTCGTCTTTATCTGGAACCCGTCGTCACTGGCTAAACTTTAAGAAGTACATCAAAGTAATGTACAAGAAAATTGTAGGTCTTAACAAGGCGTACAGAAAAGTCCACAATATGTCTGTCCTAAGGTACAATCGCAATAACTATTTTTATTTATATTATAATGATGATGATGGTATGAAAATAGGTATGAAATGAAATGATGATGAAAGGTATGAAAATAGTATGAGACTCTAGGAAGGACATAGAATAGTTTTTAGCCCGGAAATCATCCCTTAAGGGGGTAAAATAGGGGATGAAAGTTTGTATGGGGAATCAAGCTAGGGACGAACCCGAGCGAAGAGAGGGTGAGTCGCTAATTATAAATAAAATTCCTTTGCTTAGATTAGCCCTTGTATATTTATTTATTGGTAATGTTACAGCGTTACAAAATTGTTGAAATACAGTTTGAGCACAAATTTATTAATAAATATGGCCAAAATTAGATTACTCTGTAAGATATAATAGTATATGTATTAGACAACAGAGTACTCATATATTGAAAAAGGAAAGAGAAAAAAAGTCTGAATAAATTAAATTGATCATGCTAATGATATGCACATCAAACATAATGTGTTTACATGTATGTGCGGGTGTGAATGTGTGTGTGTGTGTGCGCGCGTGTGCGCGCGTGTACGCGCGTGTGCGCGCGTGCGAGTGCGCGTGCGTGCGAATGCGTGTGCGTGCGCGTGCGTGCGTGCGTGCGTGCGTGCGTGCGTGTGTGTGCGTGCGTGTGTGTGTGTGTGTGTGTATGTGTGAGTATATGTGTGTATGTGTGTTATGTGTAACGGTATGAGTCTATGATAGTTACGGACATATTTACAGTAATGTACACCTATTTATATAGATTATGGGTATGTAAAGACATTAAGCTGTGTTTAGAGAGATTAAATATGTCTAAGTCGCTATAATATTTGTTATAGGTTCGTGTCAGACGCAGTATGATGGCGTTTTTAGCATATAGTGTTTTATGGTGGTTCGTATAGTAGGGCGGTATGTCGTGTTCTTAATTTTGAGACAAGTAGTGATATATTTGACAGCAAATCAGGACAATCAATTCTGCCAGTTAAAATTGCTTATAACAAAGTAATATTACTTTGTGTGCGTCTATGTTCAAGTATTTCAATGCCATAGTGTTAGTATGCACTTTGGTTTGCATCAAAGTATTTAAAATCCTTGAATTCTAAGTATTTTATGAGCTTAGTATGTATATTTTTAAGTCTTTTGATATGTATTTGGTAATAAGGTGACCAGATGTTACTGCCATATTCTAAAATGCTTCGTACATACGTAAAGTAAAGAAGTTTAATACACTCTGTATTCGTGAAATTTTGTGTAGCTCGTTTAATGAATCCAAGCTGTTTGTATACCCTGTTTATTATTATATTGTAATGTACTGAAAATGATAGTTTCTGATCAAGTGTAATACCTAAATCTTTTAGAGAGGTAGCTTTTTCGATGGATATTCCGTTAATATTATAGTTGTAATAGATGGGTCTCTTTTTTCGACTGAAAGTTATGTGATGACACTAACATTTACCTTGATCCTATTTATTTCATAGTAATGGGCTAGTGTGTTTAAGTCTTCTTGTATTTTTATGCAATCTGCAATAGTTTTGACCTTAAGAAAGATTTTTTTGTCATCAGCAAATATTAACAATTGTGAATGCTTAAAGCATTTATCTATATCATAAAGATATGCGTTATGTAGAAGAGGCCCCAGAACTGAACCTTGTGGGACACCAGAAGGTACACACGTGAAGTTACTTCTAGCATCGCCTATAATTACTGCTTGCATTCTATTTTTAATATATGATGTAAACCATCTAAAAAGATTTCCCTGTATTCCTACGTGGTCTACGCGATCAAAGGCTTTCTCAAAATCAGTGTAAATCACATGAACTTGGTCGCGTCTGTCCATAGCGTCTAAGATGTAGTTTGTAAACACTCCTAAATTTGTTACTGTGGAGCGTCTGTGCATGAATCCGTGTTATTCTCCAGGGATAGATTTCGTTATAGTAGGGCCAATTAGATCATATATAATTTTTTCAAATACTTTACTCATAGCATTTAAGATTGAGATGGATCGATAATTTGTTATTAGAGTTCTAGATCCATTTTTATGAAAAGGCAGTATTAAGGCTTCCTTCCATTTAGAAGGAAAGCATCCGAAATTATTTATTTATGAGTTGAAAATAATTGTAAGAGGCTTAGCAAGATTCTTTGCACAGTTTTTTTAAAATATTGGTGGAATATTATCACATCTTGGGCCCTTGTGTATGTTAAGTTTTTTTAAATGATTAAGAACAGTATTTTATTTTATAGCAAATGCAGAAATTGTATCATTAATAACGTTAGTGTTCAGTTCAAGATCTTCATATGATGTAGCGGGTTTCAATGCAATCATCAGTGTCCTCGTTATAAGTTTTGTCATTATATGTAAGTGTATTAGGATAGTCATATTTAATGTTTCTCAATGTTTTCATGTATGTAAAGATCATTTTAGAATCTTTTTTAGTAAATTCTTGCATACGTTAAATTTATTAAAAAAGATCCTAAAATTGCTCATAAACTAATTTATACAATCTATTTGTCTCTGACAGCCTTAAAACAAAAAATGCCTTTAGTGGTTATTTCCTTACCGGGTCCGGAAAATACACTACTAATTATAGCCCGAGAGCTGGAAGCTGGAAAAGGACCTTTCCAAAATTCGTCAATTTGCAAAAAAAATATTTTTGGCAACTTGATTTTTTTTATCTTTTAATTTAGTTTTTATCTAATATATTTAAACGAGCAGTTGTATATATATATATATATATATATCGGCTCCAACGATTTCATGAAATTTAGTATAAGGGGTGTTTCAGGGGCGATGAATGGATCTAGATTAGTCTTATGTCTGGGAAAATGCGTGTTTTCGAATTTTCATGCGGTTTTCTTTCGAATTATTCCAGGCAAATGAAGTGAAGCGATAATTTCTCACACTCGGGCATAAGCATCATAGTCAAGCGGCCAAGGCGCATGATTGACAATATAGGTGTCCGGGATAATTAAAAAAAAGAAGCCCAGACTTTTTTTGTCGGTTATAAAGTATTACCAGACCTCTCCAAAAATATTTTATTAAAATTCCCAAAAATATTATACTTTTGGCAATCTGAAATTTTAATCACGTATTTATTGAGTAATTTTAATAATACCTGCAAATCGCCAGACAAATTTACCAGTTTTAAACAATTCCCAGACGTAAAGAAAGTTTGCAAAATATGAGTACGATAAATATGAAAAATTATAAGAATGTTTAACTTAAAAATATTGTAAGTGACTTCGTGAACGCAACGTGAGTTCACCTTGTCGTGGTGGGGGGGCTCAGTAGTGCCCGGCAATACAGTCGGGCGCGAAGCCAAGAAACGCATAGGGAGGTAGCCCGCTTAGGTGGGCGGTGGGAGGCGGCCCTCTTCGGAGGGCGGTGTACCATGCGGGTTGCTCCTGGTACTTCTCTGATAGCAGAGTGGACCTTGGAGCAACCCCATGGTTGTTGTGGTTTACTTCGGCAGACCTGACGTCGGGGCGTCGTAGTTGAATGCGTAAGCAATCCTGCGACGCCCCATTAAGACGGGGGAAAGTTTTGTTGGGTTTTAGTGGGTAATACTGGCTTCGCCGGTGAGTCCCATACTTCGTGCGTAAATACATTAGTAGTCTGTAACAACTATATAATACCTTTGAGACATCTAACACCCTAGTCTCTCCCGTGACTATGATTGCTGTAAAGCATTCAAAACGTCAGGAACCAAAAATCAAAATAAATCTTCGAAAAAATCCGAAAAGATAGTTTTATTTAAAATATCAAATATTCGTGTAAATCCAAGAAACTATTATTTTTTAAAGATTTTAAAATTTAATTCTTGTTTTGATATTTAACATATCGTATCGGACGACACGTTTAGCTCTGATCGTAGTGACCCTACTTGTCATGCCAGCGGGCGCGGGTTCAAGTCCCGCTGAGGGCATTCGTTTGTGTGATGAGCACGAATGTTTCTACTCCAGTCATGGGTATGTATCTAATATGTATGTAATATGTATGTATCTAATGATATTGTCGCGTAACGGAGAGTATGTAACATCATTACATCAAAATAATAATTAAAAAGACACGTCTGGAGCATGCTTTATGCATCCTATGACAGTTGACAAAACATTTCGAGAGAGGCGTAGAAATTACTTGAATTTAGACAAGAACAGTTAATTATAAATTGCCGTGTTTAAGAGTGAGAGAGGAACAAAACATTCGAAATGTTTAGACTAGACTAGGCTAGAATTTATTTTAGAAGGTTTTGTATTTTCGAATACTAGAATGTTCTTTGTTTATTTATATAAAAAGGCCGGCAGTGTGTCGAGAGCTCAGTTGAATTTCGAAGTTAAGTGAAGATTGCGAAGAAGTACGGAAAAAGTGAAAAGTAAAGAAAAATTGAGTGAAGCTATAGTGGAAGTGTTCTAGTGGTGAAAATTATTGTCCAGTGACTGATCACTCTTGTTAATCAGGAGTAATAAAACATCGATAGTGCAAAAGACGTGCTAATTTCCGATCCCCGAACTCATAGGACTTAACAATATATATATGTGTAGTGTATGAACTACCTGGTATTCATAACACAGGCCTCGTAGCTTACCATGGAACTAGATGGTGCTGCGTGTTAATGTCCCAACATATTTATTTGTTTATTGTAGTGCCTGGAAGTCGGTTTTTTTGTTTTTTTTACAGTAATTTTTTACTTACCGACGTACATATGAACCTTGATATCCTATTGGCGCCCGGGATATTATAAAATAATGCTGTTGGGCGTCAGTAGGGTTTGAAAAACCGAAGTAGAATGTAATTAAGTATTTATCTATACTAGGAATCACCTTTGATTCAACAAAATGATTAACATTGAGATTCTTTTTTCAAAGTTGTATAAATAATAAATATTAAATAGCCTATAAAATCCAAAAGAATTTTGGAACAAATTACAAACAATATTAATCTATTCTCAATATGACCACAGACTTTAACAATAAACGTAATAAATAAAAAAAAAAGTCTACGAAAATTAATTGTCATTTAACGATTACACTGGCACGCCACACGCGCGAAGCACTTAATCGAGTAATCATACGCCAAAATGCCTTACATCATTTTGGAAAAGAGCTGATACTCTTACACTGCTGGACCGATATTAACCAAACATAAAACCAAGCTAAGAACCACCGCACGGAAACTGACTTTCAAATGAAAAAAACCGCATCGAAATCGGTCTATCCGTTTGAGAGCGAAGATGCCACAGACAGACAGACACACACACGCATAGTCAGACATCGACGTCAAATTTATAACACCCCTCTTTGTGCGTCAGGGGTTAAAAAGAGTAGGTATATGCGTGTGTCTCAAATACGTGGTAATGTGTGTAATGTATTCTTATGCATAATTTAAAAAAAATACTAGGATTCTGCATTGTCTGTCTGTCTCTATATCTATACATATAATAAAATTGTAACTAAGCCGAATCTGTACATTAAATATTTTTGGAAAATCTTTTGGAATATACATTATTATCGATACTGAGGCCGAATATATAGTTTTTAGAATTTTTGTCTGTCTATCTATTACCGCATCACAGAAAAACCACTGACGGGATATTGATGAAATTTGGTATGGTGATATCTGGTTGTCTGGGTCAACATATAGGATACTTTTTACTGCGGGAAAATATCTCATTTCTGAGAAAAAATACAAAAACTGCATTGTAAGAGTATATATACTAATACGTAAAACCTGAGAATTTGCTTTTTGGTCACCTGAACGCGGGCGGAGCCGCGAGCAATGCTAGTAAACTATAAGTGTGGGAAATTTCATACTGCTCCGACCGCGCAAGTTTCGTAAAAAGGGGTGCAAAGTTTTTGCTTCACGTATTAATTTTTTATTTATTGATTGATTGATTATATTGTTTATTCAGGAACGCAAATGTTTAAATGAGATACTCATACACTAAATCAAATAATATTTAATAATTATAAAATTATTAAGATTTATTCATTACTAGCGGCTCACCCTTGCTTCGCTCGGGCTAGTCGCTAGGTACATACGTTTTAAATAGATATAAACAGTTATTAGCCAGCGATAGCTATATAATTTTTTTTTGTTTTTGTTAATAATATTGACAAATATTGACATTAATATTTATACGATTCTAACGTCACTCAATTGCTATCAATGTTTTGCCTTCCCGGAACCTCTCCACTAACACTTAAACTTTATGTTATGGTATTAAAGTTCAAATTAACTTTTAAGTATTATTACGAATCTTTTGTATCGGAGTATAGAAGAGTGTTGTATTTAGACTTATTCAGGCAATTTTTATTTTTTAATTTTTCTCTGCGTAAGAACCATTCTCGTACTTCAAGGAATATTCTAAAAAAAGAATTAGCGAAATCGGTTCAGCTGCTCTCGAGATTTGCGCTTACCAACACATTCAGCGGTTCATTTTTATATTATAGAAGATTTTCACTTACTTGGTGTACACGATGACGAGCCCTCTGTGTCGTCTTGGTCCGTTCCATACACATAATATTTGAAAATCTTGTGACTCGTACTATTCAAATTCATGTTACGTGTTAATAGAAAACAACAAATTTAAGTCTCTAAATTACTGAGTTGTTTTTATTCTCTAATATGTAATTTATGTACTTAGCTTCAATTATTTTCTTCTCAAAAAATAAAGTGATAATCGATTGGTTCGTTATCATTGAAATTCTTGTAGATAATTTATAGTAGGTATAACAGGGTATGATTCAATTTTTTTAATATAATTTATTTACAACATTGTAAGTACTTATTCAAGTGATTACGATTTACAAACACAACTGAGAATACCCGTACTAATCTTCAATAAGTGAATTTTCCTAATATTAAGAGCAACAGATGCGTGGCGCTGTGCTGCAATGCTAGCACTGTAGAGTATGAGGCGAAAACTTTGATCCTCTTCATAAACAGGCGGTATTTATACCGCTAGTCCCACTACAGAAGGTGGGACACTGAATCCTGAACCAATCAGTGACTGCCAGCATTACTAACTATAGACCAATGAAAATTTAGTTCCATATGCAATAAATAGTAAAAACAGGAATACTAGTATTTCTGCGTATTCCATCAGTAAATCGTTAATTTGATAAATATAATATTTTGCATTAATATATGTAGAGAAAGAAACACACAACCGTATATATTTTACTATGTCAATGGGTCACGACACGCCCCCATGTTTTTATAGTCGGAGAGCTAATAACGAATTTTGGTCAGGTATTTTAGGCAATTTAAAATTATAAAAAACAGTTAATTTACGAAGTACAGAATATGGAATGGAGAGTAGTCAATGGGGTTTGCGGTTATTTTGCAACTGCGCATCATGTGTCATCGAGTCATTATAAATGAAAAAAGAAGGAACCCAGTTATAATGACCGAATTTGAATAATTTTATTTTGCGTATCTAATAACATAAATTAAAAAGTTATTATAAAGAGGAAAGATTTGTTTGTTTTGTCGTACCGAATATGATTTGAAACTACTGAATCGATTTAGACGAAATTTTGTAAAAAGGTAGTTTGACGCCCTAGGAAAGACAGGATAGAATCCCGAAAGTCATCCCTTAAGAGGGTGAAAATGAGGATGAAAGTTTGTATGGAGAAGCAACCTAAAGACGAACCAGAGCGAAGCGAGGATGAGTCGCTAGTTAAGTATATGCCGAGTTCTTTAATTTCGAATGTAATTTGATATAAAGTGTTTATTAGCATTTAAGGATATAATACTTTACCATGGGAACTCTTAGAGGCACAGATAACTTAACTGTATATAAATAGTGAATAATTAACACTGAAATAACATTATTCGTATGGAAACGGTAAAGACTTGTAACATGATATAAAATTTAATTTAACTTTTCTCAGTTAGCATTACACATACTTGCTGTAGTTTCCATTACAAAATTTCAATATTCAGATAATTTATTCAATTTTAATGAAACTGTTAGTTATTGCAAAGCGATTTTGTTTAACAGGTCTATACCATCAAGCACATTTAACTAACACGTGATTGAAATAAGCATGGCGGCCATCGCTTGATGATAACATCCGAACTAGGCAGTTAAAAATAATAAGAATGAGTAGGCCAAAAATAAAAAAAATAAAAAGAATTTACAAAAGATTTTATTTCTTTGACTCTGATCTGGCATTGAGCTGCGCTTGCGACAAGACTAAAACTACCGACATGCTGCAAGCAGTACCACGTCGATTCTTTTACTATGAAGTCGGTTAAGGTATGGAACATACTTCCACCAGACATTCACCACTCAGTTTCTCTATGCGTATTTAAACGTCTCTACCACTATAATAATTATTATAGAATAAATAGGTACCATACCACGTACGTACCTATATCACATATTATATGTACGAGTATATACTAGCACTTCCCGCGGCTGTTTAGCTTTAAGATAAGAAATAAGAAATATATTTATTCGATTTTTGCCCACTTCAAAGGGTTTCTGATTTTTAAAATCAGACTATTAAAAAAACAATGAAATTAAAAAAAAGACATCAAAATCGAAGCTGTTCTTGAGGACTTCGGAGATTGCCTGTTTTACGTGACGCGACTATAATTGACGTATTGGTTGCTTACAAATAGCTATATCGTGCGGCTTAATTTGAGCTAATACAATGATAAAACAGAAGTGCCTATCTACAATTTCAAAGTAATTGCCTAATAGGTGTACGTATGTATATAGTTCTAATGTTTATTTGCAGAACAGTAAGCCTTAGCTGAAATATTTTAGTCAAATCTGTCTATTTGAACCCGCAAGTCTCCAAACTAGAAGAGCCGATTTGAATGGAACTTTAGATTTAGGCGATAGCGACATAGGTTGTACTTATATAGGCTATAAGTATAAGCATACTTTTTTATCCCGACAAATGTAGAGCTCCTGCAGGATGATGTTAAAAATATGAAGGCTTGATGAAATTTACTAAACGCTGTTAATTTCATAAGCCGTTTAGGACTATATATATACACAAAAGTATAAAACTAAACGTTATAAAGGATAACTGATGTGTGTGACAACTATTATATAGATCTACTATAATAAAATAGAAACGACTCAATTTTACATACTGAATTAAAAATAAGTATATTAAGTTTATTTTATATTATTTTAAAATAAATAATTAAAAACATATAAAGATATTTAAAAAAAATAAGCTTATCCTGGTAGTCAACCTAAGAAATACTAAGTCTAGAATTCAGGAAAATACAAATTTTAGAGCTTTACAAGCATGTGCGATAACTATTTTTAACGTAGATTTTTTCTTTAAATATAACATTTTGATGATTCGATAGATTTTTATCTGCAACAAAAAATCATACTTTCGTATTCATAACATCAGTGTGCGCCCAATTTTCACTAAGCGAAGCTTTGCGAATGGTAGAATGGTTTAAACAGAAAAAAGCTTTCTACGTCCTGAATATATGGCGAAATATGTCCCAGCCGGAATAAAAACTCGATACATCATTCATCTGCCTTCTTTAATACAGAGAATGCAGAGTACTGTAGGATATTACAGGGTGATTCTTCGGAAGAGTATTTTTAACTCATTTATCAGGCTTTTTTATCTTTTACTTTTTGGTCCTAATTTATTTTTTAACTTGTCCGAGTAATGAATATTGTATACTAATATTATGAAGAAAGCAGTTTATATGTTTGTTTTTGTTTGTTTGTTGTGCTGTAACTGCTTAATGTAAGTACATAAAGAGTTAATAGAAATAGCAGTAAATTAAAATAAATTATATATTTTTTCTAATTTCATGTATTGATAGTAAGTTTGTTTTAGTCCAATGGAATCGAGTTAATGTTTCTACTCATTACTGAATGGAAGGCACATTAATTTATTTTATGTATATTTTTTGGCTTTAAAAATACCCTAAAATTTCAAACCAGTCAATCACATTTCGAAATTGTTTGCTCTTTAATTTAAATTAGTTTCGAATTGCGTGAGCTACAGACCGGACGTCCGAAGTATTAAAGTGTTCGTACAAAAATATAAAAATACTAGCGGCTCAACCTCGTTCCGCTTAGGCCTTAGTAATACATTTACCCGCAGTAAAAAGTATCCTATAATATATTGACCCAGATAACTAGCTATCATCATACCATCATCAAAATCTGTCCAGTGGTTTTCTCATGATATTTTCACACACAAACAGACGGACAAAAATTATGAAAACTATAATTTCGGGCTCTGTATCGATAATAATGACTATTTCAATAAGATTTTACGAAAAATATTTAAGGTACAGATTCCACTTAGAATTTTATTATATATATATATATATATATATATATATATATATATATATATATATATATATACTGCATGATATACGAGTATGAAATAAAAGGGCCTGCTATGAGTTACGACGAGCAAGGACAATATCCAGAACTAGAAGATAAAAAAAAATGACAATTGGGAATTTACTTCTGTTTATTGTTCTTCTATATTAAAATTGATCCACTTTTTACGTGAAACGTGCACACACAAACAGACATACAGACAAACAGACACAATTTTAATAACTATTGTTTTGGTACTTATTACACTGTACACAAAACGTTTCAGTCATAGTTTTAAAAAAAAGAACATGTACAGATTACGCTAAGTTACTGTTTTATTATATGTATATATTAGTTACATATAAATAAATCTTATTAAATATGACTACTGTGAGTGATATTTCTTAAAATTATAATAAATTTAATACAATTGTTCATTTTAGAATAGGCCCCTCAAATACAGGTCAACGGAGGATCGAAATCTAGGGCGTACAACCTCCCGCTCATAAAGGGGGAAGTGGGAGTTGCCTATCGACAGAAGAAGTTAATTTCTATGCATCTCTCTCTTTAAAATGTAACTGAACAGGATGCAAAATAACGCACAATTCTGTTCCAGGAAGAGAAATGATGGCCGCTATTAAACAGAAAGGTATGGAATATGCTTGAACAAATTCATGATTCTTTATTTTATTGTATTGTAATTATAATTAGTAATAAAATGTATAGTACGTAATATTTTATTTTATTATAATTATTAGTATTAAAATATATAGTACGTAATAGACATTTAAAAAAAAAATTGATTAGAGAAGGATTTTATTCATATAAAATACACAAGCCTTCTTTTGACAATTCAATTAACCTAACAATTACTGATTAATGCATAATGAACGTAGGTATATTTTCTTTCTGGCTTGTCACATACTTAATTTTATTAGTCACAGGATTTTATGTACAACTTTAATTTATACAGGTACACTAACATTGCCCGCGACTCCGCCCGCGTTCAGATGACCAAAAACCAAATTTTTAGGTTTTACATATTAGTACTCTTACATTGCAGTTTTTGTATTTTTTCTCAGAAATGAGATATTTTCCCAAAGTAACAAGTATCCTACATGTTGACTTGGATAACCAGCTATCATCATACCAAGTTTCATCAAAATCCCTCGAGTGGTTTTTCCGTAATGCGGTAACAGACATACAAATATTCTAAAAACTATTGATT